GAGACTTAAAACCTGTGAATGCTTTTCTTCAAGGAGAATGAGATGCCGTTCAGCTATTTTCAATGTAAATACAGCTTTTCTTTGTGAGGTATCCTGGGCAGGTATCTCATTTTGTATACCTGTCCTGTACAAATGTTTTGAAATCATGTAGATAATAGAGATGTTGATTAGATTGTGTGTAACCAATTAAAACCGTTTTATCCAGCTTCAGGAAATACTGCTACATACACATGCCGCCTTTTGTAACACAGTAACAGTCTACTCAGTATGTGAAAAGACACTTTTCCTTCAAATTCTCTAATTTATTTAATGATATGGAATAAAGCTAAACTCCCCTGTGCAGTTCCCAAGAGCCTGAAGTTCATCATGCTGTTCAGTATGCTGAATGTCCTCTAGCCATTGATTTAAAAAAAGCAAGAATTTGTGAAACTTTAAACCTTATGATATGGTCTGGTTAAAGGTAAAATTGTCACATAAAAAGTCATTTTCTGTAGTAGACGATGGTAGCAAACGGCAGTGAGCCTAAAAATCTCTAGCTTAATCCAACAAATAACTTGGTGTTGTAACAACAACATATAAGCGCTTGGAAGTATTGCAATGACATTGCAATTTCATATGCTGTTTTAAAATATCTCCACTGACACACTGCATTACTTACAGCTAATAATTTTGTTAATAGCATCCTAACTTAGCATATGCACAACATTTAGTTATACGTTGTAAATTACACAATTCTTGCGGTTTAAAATTTTTGAAAAGGTCCTATTAGAGATTGCGTTTGTTGACACAACCTCATGTGTTCTTATATATCACGACTGGCAGTGTTTTTAGAAACTAGTTATCCTTGCATAACCCTAAAATATATTGAACTATATTAATCTGAGCTGATTTTATCTCATGTACATCCTATATCTGACTTAAGTTTGCATTTATATAATGTAAAAAAAAAAAAATGATTTAAACTTTTCTCTCATGTATGTTTTGTGAGCCGATTTAAACTGAATTGAGCCATGCACCAATACCACATGCTTATTTGCTATTGTAAATGCGTAAATATGTTCTACCAACTCCAAATTACAGTTCCTTCTCAAAAACGTATATTCTTTTGTATGTTTCTGGATTATATTAAAAATAATTAAATCCAAAACTGTAAGCACACAAATGCATTTATTTCAAAGTAAAAACTTTAATTTGTATTTTTCAAGCAAAGAAATGAAACACGTCAGTCTTCAAAATATCCTAAAAAGGCAATGCATCTAAAAAAAAAAAACAAGTTGGACCAGTTGCTCAAACAACATTCAGTGCACCAAACGTCAAGTAGAAAAACATTCTCAATCTTACTAACGACCTAGTAGTTCCAGAACAACAAATCCATTCAATATTTAATTCCCTGAGGATCTCTTCACAAAGTCTGTTAAATCAACCCATTAAAAATGTCAAAAAAACAGGCCATTGGTTTATGCAGCTCTCAAGTATGTTCAATAATTAGGCTGGTTTCATTAAATGCTACATTTGAACCTTGGAACAACCTAATGTTTATGAATAAAGGATCTATTTTAAAAGGAACTGAAATGTATTATTAGGGAATATTGCACTTCTCTTGAAAAATCAATTAAATTCATAGATTTTCTATGTCACATTGTTTTGTTTAAACCAAAGAAGCTTGCAAAACATACAGTTGTGGTCTACACCTGGAAACCTCTGATCCTTTACTCTGGGACAAATCAACCTCATCTGAAAGAACTGAAGTGGTATGACCTGTTGGACAGAGAGAAGAACTGTGGGAGGGTAAATCAACTAGTCATCAAAGGTTCAGTTTACAATGAAAGAACATTATTTTTTGAAAATGATTCTTAGATGATTGACCGCTATGATATGTTGATATGATTACACAATGCATCGTCATTTAGATGCTTCAACAAACATGGAAAAACCAATACATTTCTAAAAAAAAAAGTGTGCAAAGGGTGGATATTTCTTTTGCAATCTGACTAAACAAGCAGCAGCTCAATCCATAAGAGCTTTTAGAAGAGCAGGATAATTTGGTGTTCCCCATCCCGTTACTGGATCCCATGAAGGGGAGGCACAGAAACCCTTCCCTTCAACTTTATCATCCAGACAACTCAGGTGACATCCCTCTGTTACCTAAGGGGAGGAGGAGAAAACGCTGTTAAATCAATTTGCTAGGCGTCTATGGTTACATGAACAGATAACGTAAAGGTTTTAACTGTCACACTTAAGCTGTTACACAAGCTCAATTTCATACATAGCTGCTTTCTGAAATGTGAGTGCGCTGCATGTAGTTGCCACAAGGGACACTACAGCGAGTATTTCCATATGCTGCCTTTTATGATCATTTCATACATGGAATTCTTTTAGGACAGTAGCATTATAATTTGAAACATCATTACGCTGACATTTTAAATATGGATTTTGTAGACATAGTAGTTCTGAACACAGGGAAAAGGCTAAAAGAGGCTAATGTTAAAAATGTTTTTAAACACTTACATCATAAAGACCTTTGCCTTGCAGTTTGTAAAGGCAAGGGTTGATGAATCCTAATGAGGGAAGACCCTTCAGAAAGCGCTGGTCATTTATGAGGGACAGCATTCCACCCACTACTGGAGTTGATGCCTTGGGAAAACATTGGGTTTATGAAATATCAGACTTTAATGGGTAATGTATTGTAACTTAATCTGTACTTTAAATTGTTACTAAAATGGTACATGTACATTGTTTTTGCATTTTCTACCTTACAGATGCTTGGGGTCAGTAAGATTTTTTTTAAATGTTTTTGAAATAAGTCTCTTATGCTCAATAAGATTTGCATTTATTTGATCAAAAACACAGTGAAATATTACAATTTAATAATTTCTGATGAAATTGAATAAGTTATTTCTTATTAATAATGTTGGAAACCGTTTTGCTGCTTATTTTTCTGGAAACTGTGATAACGTTTTTTCAAGATTCTTCAATGAATATAAGTAATATATTGTAATATAAGTGCACTAGCAAACAAAAACCCATTGTCTTTGTATTATTTACTAACCGAAGTTCCAGAAACCCATGGTACGGGTGCACGGTTGGTAACAACCCAGTAGTTGTCAGAGAGCGCAGCTAAATCTGGATAGGCTCTTCCAGTGATGTTGAAATATGTCTGAGGAGGTAGAGGCTGAACACTCTTCAGATATGCTTGAACAGCACCAACCTACAGAGAACAAAACACAATAGCCTTGTTTGTCAGAAATAAGCAAATAGATAAAGACACTGTCACTGAAAAACTGACTTCAGCTGCTGAATTTCAAGGCCTTTGCTTCCAAAAGTACAGTATGCAAAAGATCTGTATGTATGGAATGACCTACATTTACACAATCTCACATAGCAAACACTTTCTCTTTCCATTGTGATGTGAAAAAAGCAGCGATTTAAAAAAAAAAAAAGTGATTTTGCCAAATGATATTAAAAATGCAAGTAGATTTTATTTCCAATATGACAACTGTATTTGAATTGCTGATTTGAGGTCATGGGGGGGGGGGGGTTAAAACAGAAAATAGTGCTGATTTCAGCTACTTAAATAGACTCTAGGGACATTCTGCACAGTTATCATTAAGCAGCAAGATGGTATTCAAAACACAGCAAAGGATGCAGACTCATGGAGCTTTACCTGATAATCTGGCATTGCAAACACATTACTGAAGCCACCTCCACTGATGTAGTCTGTGACCTCATAGGTGAGTTTGAAGGAGTTCTTGAAAGAAGTCCCACCCACCGTGGTCACATAGGGACTAGATAGGGAAGAGATTCATTTCACACATTAACTATTTTTCAGTATAAAAGGTATCATTATACAGATTATTTAGAGAGCAACAACTACCTGGATGCAGGAAAACTCGGCCTAAACGTATTTCTTTTCTTGGTCAAGTGTCTACAGCCTGCTCCACTGTCACCTGCATTAAAAAAACACACACACACAGAGCTATTGAATGAGTGTGGCTTTCTTTGAGATCTTAGACCAAAAGAAGAAAAAAATGAATAAAGAACTAGTATATGCAACCAGCAGTTAATCAAATTTCAAAATAAAATGCACAAAAGAAAAAGTTTTTGTTCCTGCAACATGGTTTTCGTTATCTTACCGGAAGCAAAAAGCATGGAAATCCCTCTGAGGCCAGCTTTCATGAACTCGGTGTTGATGCGGTTCATATAGGCATCAGAAAGGCTGTCCTCATCATCTCCATAGCTGATAGTGTGGACCCAAGGCACTGCAGACATGTTGCTGAGCAGCACCATCCACTGAAGGAACGGCTCCTGAGACTCATGACGACCTGTTACCAAGACCAAGGTAAAGTTGGTAACCTTTACAATGCATGAAGTAAAAGAACCTATTTGGAAAAAGACCCAACTGATGCACTAAAATCAGGTCATTTGAGAAGATCAATA